GGTCAAATGAAGTATCCCAAGTAATTCAGTGTTGAACATGAACCAGCAAAAAAATCCTTTAAGAATCCACATTTTTAAGGTACCAAATTATTGCCATTATGCTTTTGATACATTTTAAAAACTATTTTATGGAAAATCCCAGATTGGCATAATTTCTACAGAAATTGAGTATCTGTACCATGTGTAATTTATATTTTTAGCATATGTCCCTCCAAGGTCATCATTTCCATTCAAGAGCTGTCATTTCCTTGCAGATGTCTTTGATGTGCAGTGCCTCTAATTGCACTTATCAGTATTAGCAAGTGCGCTACTTTAAAAATCTGTACAAAATTTACTTTCTTAATCACAGACTGAACCCACACATGATGTGCTCTTATTAATGAGAAAGTGGTCATTAACAAAGCCATTTCAAATCATTATTTCCTAATGCTGAATTTAGGAGGAAAAATGAAACAGTGCAACCAAATCATGAGAGTAGTCAGCAAAATCAATAAAAAGAATCACCACAGTGCATACTGGGCTTAGGTATGTATGTTGCTCTTTGCTTTGGTGATGAACTGTATTGATAATGATTAAAATCTGCTTATTTTCCCTAGTGAACTAAATGTAGCTGCTGTTGATGCAAACCTCACATTAGCTGTGTCAAAAAATGTGGCCAAGACCATCCAGTTATATGGTGTAAAATCGGAGCAGCTTGTAAGTGGTACCCCTTATTTCTAAACTTTCGCTTTGTTTAAACTTACTAATTGTACAATACTTGACTAACTGTAACTAACAGCGTAATAAATGAAGTAAATCTGTTTTTACCTGTATCTTAGTTGTTCCAGTTGGTTCTATAATAATTTTTAGAGTAGCCTGTTGACAAATTAAACTGAAATAATTTGCATGAAATGAACCTTGGTGGTATGAGCCTTCCTACTTTCATTCCCAATGGAAGACCAAATTTTGTTTGCCTATATGGTGCTATTTAACATTCAGTTGTTCTTGTAATCTTGACAGTAATTTATAGACATCTTTTTTAAAACTCTGTTTATTGAGAAATAGCCATATAAAGATATGGGAGCTCTTTATAGGCAATTAGATGACTAATTTTTCTCTCCAAACTTTTTTTATAGGTTCTTTATTATAATGTTCATTGCTTCTAAAAAACCATGGTTATAAATAAAATTCAGTATTTTATCTACTAGAGTTGCGTCACTCCTGAAGATGTCAAGAAAAAACGCGATGAGACAGGCCCCCAGAAGACAGAAAGAATCCACACACACACAGAAATATATTTTACTTTGTGGGTATGGCAGGATATGGTGGGGTGAAGGAGAGGCAATACTGGCAATACATGATTTCAATCAATGTCGTGATTGAAAAGGCTTTGAAAAACATAATAATGCAGTTTCGCTAACATTATTTAATGATATGTCTGTTTGTGGCCCCAAATTAATTACTCAAGACTACTTAACCTGCAATATTGAAGGCTAATGGAAAGTTGTTGACCTTTTTTACTTTTTAATGTAACTTCCCCTTCTCCAATAATTTTACTTTTCAGCTTTCATTTAGTTACATAAGAAAGGCCTAAGCATTAAACAATAATATTAAACAATAATACAATGATAATGTATTATAAAATACATTATCAACTAATGGCCAAAATAACATTTCATTGTTAGTGTTTATCTCTATGGCTGTTAATGATACTGTTTCTGCTACTCTGGGACTTTTAAAAAGTTTGACATGTTGTCTTTTTTGGTCATTCCATTTTATTCTTGTAGAATAGTTTCACTAAAAAGATTGTGAACAAAATAGGTAAATACTAAGATTTTTGTTGAAGAAAGACTAGAGATTTTTAAGTAGAATAACAGCTGTATAAAGGAAATACTGACTTGAGGTTTAGGATGAAAGCAACATCTTTAAATAGGGGATTCTTTTTATAGATGAAAAATTTAAGCCTAAAATCCATGAAGTTAAGAAGTGACAGAAATTAGATCATTAATGGAATGTTGAAGCAGTGAGATAAAGGAAAGCTAGAAATTTAAAGGCATATACTTACCGAAAGGGTAATTTAAAAATACAGCCTAAAATATACAGTGAGCAGCTTTCTGAGTCCTAAATTTATTTCTCTAAAGATTAGGAGTTTCTTGGCTACCAAATAATTTTAATATGCTTAATTATAGCTTTAATTTGCATCAGGAGGGTGGCTCATAAAAGGGTTTCCCAAACTGGATTTAATGTTCTGACATGTAGTAGGTATAACTAATAAATTATATGTAAAATACACTTATATGCTTATAATAATAAATTGGAAAGTATTCTTATCAGGACATACATGTTTTCCCCTAAGGCTTTTCGTTATTAGTTATCAAAAGTATATATCATACAAACCTAAATCTCTACAAGGACAAATTCTTTGTTTATTTTCTAAATCTGAAATGATACCGAAAAATAATTTTTTTTTGGAGACAGGGTCTCACTATGTAGTTCAGGCTGGCCTTAAACTCACTATGCAGCCTAGGCTGATCTGGAAATCATGGTGATCCTCCTGTCTTACCCTCCAGAATGCTGGGATTACAGGCATGTGCCAACATGCCCAGCTCAAGCAATCCAGTTTTACAAGTAGAGTAATAACTACCATTTTTAAGCACATATAGTGAATCAGGGATTATGCCAATCCATTTACATATATTATCTCATCTATTTTACAACTATCATGAAATGCAAGTATTAATGTCTACTGCTACAAAATATGAAAATTGAGGCTAAGAAAGATTAGTAGTATGACCAGTAGAACTAAATGTAGAATACTAGTGAACAGTTGTGACATTTAACATTGAAACCCAGACCAGACTTTAAGCTTTAAAACTGCTAGCCAGGCATTGTGGTGCATACTTGTAATCCCAGTACTCGAAAGGCTGAGGCATGAGGATTGCCTCGAATTCAAGGCCAGCCTACGCTACATAGTGAGTTCAAGGCTAGCCTAGACTAGAGAAGGAGATCTTGTCTCAAAAAAAAAAAACCCACTCTCCTGACTTGTATCCATGTGCAAATATAACATCTTTTTTATTTAATAAAAGTGTGATTGTGCAATGCAGTGCAGTTCAGTAAGAAGAATTTTGTGTTCAAAACACACAAACACATACATACGTACCTATTAATCATATGTATAGTAACATTTTGTGATTGACCTGAATAAATTATTTAATGTTGAAATATTGGGCATTTGTTTGCATAGTCTAAATAGGACTTCTAAGATATCACTAGATCTTATAATGGAAATTTTAAATCTGTATTCTTCCTTGTCCTGTCTATGTTAAAAGGAAGTCAAAATATCAGTATACAAGGGAACTATTATGACCTTTATAGCTATAGGATTTTAAATTTTTGTAATAAAATTATAGGCAAGTATACTTATAAGTATTCCTTTTAAAATATGAATTATTAGATATTTTTCAGCAATGACACTATTACCTGGTGGTTTTAAGGAATGACATCTAGAATTAGTGTAAATATCAAGTGTTATGAACTATGAGAAGGTACATTGACATGTAATTAAGTTGCAGACCATCTGACACAATAATTGGGATTGACAATTAAGGAAAGCTTTCCATTTCAGTGCAGGCCAGTAGCTATATATGTAATGAGCAGTTTTGGACCACTAGGGTTTTGTTTTAAGGCTTTGTAAATAACACTTGACACTTGGTATAATTTCATGAGTATCTTTACATTCCATTAATGGAAGAAAACTTACATAAGTATTCAAGTGATGATATAGAAACATATGAATTCAGTTTTTTTTTTTACTTTCAAAAGGATTATTTATTGGAAATTTTAGTTTTCTACATGAATACCACTCCATGCAGTGTTAAAATGGTAGTGATTTATTTTATTCACATTCAGGTAAATAAAAGAGGAAATACTAAATCACTTGGAAGTGCTTTTATATTATGCACAGAGGAAATGTATCCATAGGGTCTCTTGGACCAAATGTACTTTAGTGATAATACACACACCAACCCCTTTGAGTTAGCTGCCTTCTTGACTGTTTAGATAGGTTTCTACTCTTTCCTACTGTTTTAACATTGGACTCTTTTAGCATCACTGCTTCCCTCCTTCCTGTAAGATAGCTTTCTGACATACTTCCCAGACTTGTAAAAGTTGGATTTCTGTGGGCTGTGCCAGGTCAGTAATAGATAGACTGTCAGGCTTATGTTAGAGCTAATGGGTTGTAGTGATGATAGAAATAATGGTTTTTCTTGTGAGAGAGAGGAGGAAGTAAAAATTTCCAAGTTTTTAGTTTATGTTTGCCTGAGTTTATATTAGCTATCTGTTGCCACAAGAACAATGTATAACAGACAGCCACAACTCTAAATGGCATACAGAAAGCATTTATTGCTCAGGCCTAACAGGTCTAAAGGGGTACAGCTAGTTAGCTTTGCTGATATGGCTGGTTTTGCTCCTATGGTTATCTGGTCTTGATCTAGGTGGCTTTTGGCATAGTTTAGACTCTTCTACATATCTATAATCCTGTAGCAGTCTCTCTGGGGCTTGACTTCAAGGTAAAGGGAGAAGTCAAGCCCCAGAGAGACTGCTACAGGATTATAGATATGTAGAAGAGTCTTAACAGATTCACACTTGAGGAATGAAGTAAGAAAAGTATACCTTTGGGAATAAAAAGTTCATGAGCTCCCTTTTTTGTAGTTTGGCTTTGTGACAGACGGCATATTGCCCCAACCCTTAACCTCTGTTTGCACCCACATTATTTGCTGTTAATATGTCTGGTGGGCCATGTTTTTCATGAAAAAATATTTTCTCATTTATTTTTCTTCTTTATTCCAAAATCTGGAATTTATTTAGTCTGTGAGTAAACAGAATCCTTATACCCACCTCAAGATATACAAATACTAGCTATCAGCTTGAAAAGAAATTGGGCAATGGAATCTTGCCCCCTAATTTTTCACTGCCATATTAACACTTTGTTACCATCAAAAGGTTTTAAAATTATTAGCCAGTTCTGCCAGGTGTTCTCATTGAGAGGACTAGTCTGAATTACCTACTCAGTTTTTCACTGGAATTGGGAGTCCTAATGCTATAGAACTTTCATGTCTTTTCAGGCATATTAGTAATCCTACCCTATTCTGAGGTATAGAATATGATTTAATTTTTTCATGTGGATTTCAAAGTAATACTATTTGGAAGTACATTCCTAGGAGAGAAAGTCGTCTGTGTTTAGCCAGGGTTAGGTTGTGAACTGTCCTCCCTCACATACACATACCACATATCACATAGGAACACACAAAACAATGAAGTGATAGCCATATTCCATAAATCATATCTAAGGAAAACCTGCATTTGCTGCCTAGGGCTGCTGTAGGCATCCACCTTTGCAGGGAAGAGTGCTTTGCAAGTGGGACCAGGGCCAAACACTGCTCAGGAATTGGGCTGCAAAATCTCATGGTGACATGATCTCTTCATTTCTAGCATCTGATATGATTCTGAATTGAGATCTTTAGTAGCAGTGGTGAGGAGAAAGGTATGGGAAGGCTGTCAACCCTCAGACACCAGGGACAAACGGAAAGTGAGAGGATACACTGATACTTCTTTCTGAAAACATTAGGGTGCAGACTGAAATTCAGTGCATTGGAGTTAGAAGAGTTCATTTGTGTCTTAAAAGCTATTAATTGTCTTTGATTATTCTCTGCTATACC